GAGGATCACGCGGTCCTCATCCTGGAAGGCGAGTAGCACCGACAGCACCCAAGCGTTTCGTCATCTGCTTCATACTCCTCTGCCAGGTCATGGGTTGGCCACCTCTCTGTTTACGCCACTCCGAATTGGGTATAGAAAATAGTACTCTTTTCGGTAAACGATGATTCGGCATGCGTAAAACATGTCGCAACCAACGCAGCTTCTGGTGCTGGGTACATTCTTCAATGGAAGTACCCGTTACACAACCGAAAACACGCTTTCTAACTGCCTCGTTACGGATTCGCTGACACCAACCCACACGAGCTATGGTTCTGAGACAACGATTGTCGAACACCTGAAGACGTCTCAGGTCCGCTGCTCGAATAGGCCAAGTCTCACAGCCATACAACAAAACAGCCCGTACTGTGGCTTGATACACACGTCCCTTCAGATTCAGGGATAAACCATTCCGACACCGTAGGTGTCTCAAGTTAGCAAACGCGGCCCGAGCCTTGCAGATTCGTGCATTCACCTAATCTGTCACACTACAATCAGAACTAATACAACTTCCAAGATACGTAAAACGCTCCACAACTTCCAGTACCTTTCCCTGGACGGAAGAGTTATCCTACAAAGGACATCCCAAGTACTTCCTGGGTTTTGTTCTAGGATGTATATCTAGCCCTTAGCAACGTGCGGCCTGCAAGGTAGAATTAAAACAGTATGGAAACAGTTGAACACCACCAGCGTGTATGTCGGATTCCAGAAGTAATCTCACCCGCCCAGTCTACTAGCGCTGGTTCTTCTCATGATTGTTTCCGTAGAATCTTGGTTTAGCCATCAGACAGACAACTAGGGGAGTCAACTGGTTCCCATCACCTGCCTTCGTCATTTCACTGTATTGGAAATTCTGCCACGGAACTGCAGTGAATAGGTCTAAAAAACCAACAGATCATCTGGAGGCATTCTATTGCAAAAGAAACGATATTACTCGTATCCGAAAACACTCACCGCTGATCATTTGAGGCGTTTAGGAAGTCTTCCATCCCCTACAATCGTCTGTTTCTAGTCGGTGAGTTTGATGTCGTCTACCCTGTAACAGTTTGCACCAGAGTCGTCTGATGCATTGCGAAACCCACCGAAGAGGCTCACTGGCGATGTTGGCCGAGGTCGACTTTTAATCCACTAGACATAACTGTGGCAGCTCAAGTGGGTATGGAAAGCATGCATCCTCGGTAAACCGTTCGACAGAGTACTTATCCGGTACGCGACAGGCGCTTTATCTATACTGTTTTCACTTGTGCCTTTCATTTCAAGTTTCACTGACTGTTTTACGGGGACCTTTGACTGGCTTCTGTAAATCACTCTTATGATCAATACAAACAGTCCGTTGTTGGACACACTGAAACTGCATGAGCATACATGGAACCGGCTGATCCCATTTAGAGTTGTCCAGAACAGACTTCCTCGGATTGGGCATTCGGTTCTCGATTCCCTGTCATTAGTAGAGCTTTGTATCTCATTTTGCACACCTATTCTTCACGCACACGTTAACTTCACTTGTTCCATTTGCAGAACGAAGACTCCAGTTCCAAAGGTCCAGTCAAAAGAAAGTCTTCAACCTTTAGCCAACTCTTTGGGCTGTCACGAGTTCGTACCCAAGCGAATACCAACAACAGCGGAAACGTTGAACCGACTGAACAAGTGGAAGATCGCAGTGGCGTGGTGAATGAAGAATGCGGTAGGGAGTACACAATTGAATTACGGAATGTGTCCAGCGTTGTGTTGGCACTTGACAAGGTGAATATTGCTCTTCCTTCCTTTTGGTTTTGCATTTAGACTTCAAAATGCATCCTGGCTACAAAAATTTAAACCGCACACGTCTGACACGTTACCGTTACCCAAACAGCGTACTCTTGGTACGAATGAATACTTATTTTAACAGGCGAACTGAGCACTGCGATTGGTTAGTCTAACAACTGTTACTTCTTTGGTTGTGTCGATCGACTAACCCACCTGTAGGAACTTTTTACGGACCGACGGATACTTTTGTAGTGTGAATAGTCACATATCAGTTTGCCGTGGTCCAAATTTCACCACGACCGACTGTATGCAACACTAATGAGTTCTAATAATAGACTAATTTTTGGAGCAATTAAAAACCACAAGCGCATGCACCTACTTCATCATTTCCACAACCTAGTAGCAGCAGTGTCCTATCCACTATTTCAGGATCGAATTCGCGTTGACATTCAAAACACTCCATCTGGCCTCTATGACCATCTTAGACAATCTGTTAGCCGTTTGAAATCTGACCAGTTTCGACACAGTAACTCGAACGTCAATTCTGGCACAACAACCAGTTTCTACTGCTCCACCGTGATGCTCCAGCCCGAAATCGTTCAGGCAAGTCTGCATTCATCTTTGTCTTAAATAGATCTTGTTCAGTAGGATATTTTACTTACCATTTTCGTTTATGATTACTCGGCTTACTAGGGACTTCTGGCTCGAAAGGAAACTACACTATTTCTATGGAAATAAGTTGCATTTGTTCCAAGTTCGACTATTGATTTTGATCGCACGGAAACAACCTTGCGGAACTTCAGCAAACGGGCATCTATGATGAAGATCACCTAGCTGCCATGTCACCAGAAGGAAGCACGAGGGCTAGGATATTGCCAGGTTGCCCAAGCGTAGACAGGGGAAGTCAAGAAGCAGAGGTCAAGTTCGAACCACGGACCCTCTGGTCAGTAAATCCACGCTCTAACCACTGGACCATCTTGCCGCCTCGCTGTAAAAAATTACTTTTGAAGGAATTTTTTCAGAAAGGTTTGGTAAATAATCGGTAATTTTTATTTGGGCAACGTTTCGCTTTTGACACGAAAACTTCATCAGGCCATGTGAGCAGGTCACCAAATTAGTCAGTTTATAAGACAGACGGGGAACCAATCAGTAAGCCCTCTTCAGATTACCACAATAAATCAGTGTTGCGTGTCAATTAAAGGTTTGTGTGGTTGCCAAAATCCTCCGTCGATGGGTTGGGGGATTTCCGATCGGGTTTAGATCTTCAATCTTCCACTTCAAGATGCTTCATTGATGATTCGTTTCGGATGACACTGATAGATTTCGTTGGTTTTCGTGGGCCTGTGAGTGTTGCGACAACTGTGTTGGAGGAGGGAAAATGCGTGAGGTTAAGTGCAATTCAGATATGACTCATTCTGATAACTGCACACCAACACGAGTCATATCGGCCGATCCAAAACCATTCTCCACACGCTTACCAGTTACACGCCCTCTATTTCGTTAACACTGGGATGCTTGGCGATTTCTACCGCCTCGGGTATCAGTCTCTGTGACAGGACCTCGCCTCAAAAACCTCAGCATTTTTGAAATCTATTTTGTGTCCTGGATCCAGTTCATGTTCCGCCATTACCAAGTTTTTCAATGGCGCCTGATATTCATCCGCGTTTCTCGGCGGCCTGTTTAATTTCCTCCTATGCTGTCCGATTCGGATGTGAAGTTTTCTGACCGCCTATCCTATGTAGATCTTAGTGTAGTCGTTACATCTAGTTTTGTATACATAGTCCCTGGTTCTGTTTACCGGGAGGCGATCTTTCGATTGTACCAGTCCAGAGCGCAGAGTGTTCCCTCTCTGGAAAGCTATTCTTATGCTATCCGTGTTTCGAATCCTTGGGATCTCCTCCGATGTCCCTGGTTTCTATGGAATAACAGCGGTCCCGATCTATTCCCTGTTGGGTTTCGCCACCGGTACCAGCACTCTTCGCAATTGACGCCTAATCAAGCTGGCTGGATATCCACTATCCCGAAGTTTGTTCTTTACTTCAATTTTGGCCGCTGTCCGATCTGCTTCTGTACACAAGGCTTTTACATGCCTAAACATTGATGAGTCAATACTGGCGAACACCGACTTCGGATAGGCGGACGAGTAATTCACAATTATCCCAATGTCGGTTGGCTTCCCGTACACTTTGGTCTTTAGTTTTCCCCCGACCTTATGTGTCATGCAGTATAAAAGAAGAAAAAGAAAGAAAAGTCAAAGGAATGTTGAAATAATGGCTGTTCTCGACCGGCGGTCTAGTCATTTAGTAGCCCAATAATCCGATTTTCACATACGTGAATCCGCACACATCTGCAGTAGACTTATCATTTTACATATCTCTCAACCGTCAGGTAAGGTTCTGCTCCTAGTAGTCCATTGTTTGCTTCTTGGCGACCTTTATACTTATCTGCTTGTCACTTTTATTATTCCTTGACATCCGCGCGTTGCTTCCGTGGTGATTCCAGCCAACTAATCATTTTTCTGTCTTGGATTTTTAGAATGAGTATTACTGGATTGACAATGATCACTTTGAAGCTTGTCCGATTACGGCACGAGTCCGACGAAATGCGATCAGTATTTACCAGTAAACTCTCCAGTTCTAACCTTCATTCTCCGGTAACCGAGCGTCCGCTTTCTGCACGAAAATTTCTTCGAGAGCGCCTTCGTGTGGGGAATTGTAATTTTTACTTCACTTTATATCATATTTAGACTGTACAGTGCGACACAGATAAACATGGGGCAGTTTTTGACTACATTTTTCTTTCTGTCCGATTGCATGGAGTTTGCGTAGCTGGTTTTTTGGTGCTGCAGGAACCCACATAGGGAAATCCAGTGCAGTCTTTAAAATGATGTGCAACTGACAGTACAAAGTAGTGACTGTTTGAACACATTACACCTTAACGTACACTTCACGTATTTTAAGGAGAGTTCTCACAACACTTGGCAGGCCTCCACTTTTGAGAAACGTGGGCGGCCATCACGTGTAATTCATTTGAAAGCCGTACAGTGGCGCTAGGTCAGTTTCATTCACAGGGGACGGTGAAATGAGAATCTTGATATTCCTCGATCTGTCACCTTGTCGTGGTGGTCGGGCTTCTTTGCTGCAATAACCCTGCGGGCTCAGTTAGAAACTCAGTTCCTAAAAATTCAACCATGCCAGGAAGACCAACAGGAAGCAGCCCGACGAAGAACAACGAGACCTTGCACTGCGAGTAATCGTATTACGAGACAGTTTGGAGATTAAGTCGTACTGTCCTCTGCGATAGGAGTGTGAAGCCAGTGAGCCGTTTTCCCCAGGCGACCAGGGTGTCCATATTTATGGAACAGCGATGCTGCCTTCCCCTGAGGAAGGACGGGCTGGAAAAGGTCAACTCCAAAAATCGCACACTCCGATCGCCCAACGGTTGACCGTGACCGCCGATGCATTATTCAATACGGTCGAAAACCAAAGAGTCCGGTGCTGCTTAAAAGGCACATGATGTGTGCAACTGCATCAGAATGAGGCGGTTATTCCTTACTCCCTGCATCCTCGGGTTAGGCCAACCCCCTGCAGCTGAGCATGTCATACTATTGAGTCAACGACTCCGGGAAGGGTCCCCCAAGAAAACCCTAACAACCGCTGTCTTGCGGGTCGGACACTCGAGTCACGGACTAGGTGCAGGGTCCCGGAACGAAACCCTACATCCTCCCACTGCCTTGTTGGTCAGACTTTTGAGTCAAGGCCTCAAGGTTGGGTGCCTCAACCATCGTCCAGAATGATAAACCAAAATATTCACCTACTAACCTCAAAATATCTGATCCCTATTACAGCCTTTAATGTCCGTACCCTATGGGGAACAGGCATCCCTTGCGGAAACTTTACTTTCCCTCTTTATCTGTGTTGCGTCTCCGAAACACGCATACAAGACCCCCCACCTCAAGCTGCTTAGGACGGGCTCAGATATTCCACATTCCACTTTTCAGGCATCCGGTGATCCTGATACAATGGCATGTAGTATCTTCGGTGTGGGAGTTGTACTCGGCCCTAAGGCTGAAAGCGCCTTACAGTCGTCTTTGCTCTGTTCGATTGTCTGGCTAACTTAAGATTAACGCAGGTCGGTGTAGTAAATGGTGTTCATTTGTCGTATCAGCATACGTCCTAACAGATGGCAGTTCTGAGATTGAGAAGGACGAGTTTGATCAAGATCTGTCAGGACTGCTTCGGTCAGCAAGAAGGACGGATATAGTAATCCTGGTTGGTGTTGTGAATGCCCTAGTTGGATGACCAAGTCCGGAAGAAGCACAGTTAGGTACTCGATTTGGAATGGATGCTGAGCGTACGGACAACGGAGAGCGGCTTCAGTCGTGTGCGGATCATCGTCTGTTCCTGGCCAGTGCGAAATTCCAACACGTACGCTCACGCCGAGTTACTTGGAGTACACCTACCACAATACAGTTCTGGACTCCATTGGACCATATGGTAATCAGTTACTTATAGAGAGCCTCATTTAAGGATTGTCGTTCCTTCTGGGGTACGCAACCTGACTCTGACAACGCCATCGTTCGGGCCCGCTTAGCACTTCGCTTTCCGCCTGCACCACGCGTACCAAAAGAGAGCAGCTCCGTTCATCAACTTCGACAATTTTCAGTAGCCGAAGAATATCGAGCTGATCTGGCTAGAAAGATACTAGAAAAGCACAGTCATGTGGACGATGAGGACTTTGGAGGATGAATGGAGGCAAATTAAGGAAGCAATGCTGTCAGCTTCCAGAACTGTTTATTCAGCCCATCTGACTCGAATCAAAGAATACTGGATATCTTCGAGCTCAGCAGATCTTATTGCTGCCAGAAAACCCATACCAGCAACTAGTGACCTGTGGTGCACGCAGATCCCTCAAACACCGGATAATCGGGAGCTTGAAGAATGACAGAGAACGTTGGTGGATTTCGAAGGCTCAGGAGATGGAGAAGGTTTTCACTGCAAGCTACAACCGCGCCCCTGTTTCAATTGATTAGATCTACGGGTCAATAGAAGGTAGATGTTGATGAGACAATATGCGAAAAAGACGGAACGTCAATTCTCTCCCACAAACCTCGTCTTGAGCGGTGGGTTGAGCACTTCCAAGAACAGTTCACATGGTCTTCAACACAACCGCTGGAAAAACCAAACGGGCCCGAATGGAACATTGAAACCAACCCACCATCAGCAACTGAAATCAAGCATGAAATTTCAATCCTGAAGCGCGACAAGGCACCTGACCTGGATGGTGTACACCGCGCTCTTTAAAGAAGGTGGCGAGGTCCTGGTGAAGAGTCTGACAACCATACTGCAGATGATTTGGAACGAATGGTGCCGAATGGAGCTCCTCGACCGTTATCCCAGTTTTCAAAACGGGCGCAAGAGCGTCATGTGACAACCATCGTGGTACCGGTCGCATCTAAGGTGCTCTCTGGCATCATTTTGCACAGGTTGATGGATTATCGGGAGAGACATTCGTGAGAATCAAGCTGGGTTTCGCCCTGGTCGAGGATGCATCGACCATATGTTTGCCTTAAGACAAATTCTTGAACAGTGCCACTCCTTCAGACGTCCCACGTTGGTCGTTTCTCTTGATTTAAAAGCTGCTTTTGATTCTATCGGTTGTCAGTGTCTGACGATCAAAGGTGTCTCTTCCAAATTTATATCCCTTATGAGGGCACTGTATGCGAACTCCTGTGGGCACGTACGAGTGCACGGTAAACTTTCGCCTGAGTTCACCATATCCATTAGTATAAGATAAGGCTGTCCTCTCCCATCTTTCCTCTTGAAATTTTTCATTGATGTGCCGCTTGAAATTTCTCTGCTTGCCTCTGAAACCTCGGGAGTCGAAATGCACCCGGGACGTTCGCTCACAGACATTGAGTATGAAGACGATATTGCTCTCCTTGTTTCATATCCTTCCCAAGTGCAAACGACTTCAGATAACTTAGATAACTATGCCGAATGGTTCGGTATGTGCTTCGAACCTGAAAAATGTAAAATACTGCCACAAAACGAGTTGGAATCAAACGGAAACTTCATATCTTCGGATGAGCTGATCACCGCGGTGGTTAATTTGTTTATCTGGGAAGTTATGCACAATCCGGTAGGCTGGCTAGAAATGAGATTATTTCTCGAATCGCAGAGACCAGGACAGCTTTTGCCAACCTCTGACGCTTATGGCACCGGCGTGACGTGAGTTTATCAAGGGCAGTCCACACTGCGATGGTGCGATCCATACTGCTTTATGGATCAGCACGTGGCATTTATGCGCAGAGGATATACGAAAGATGTCGGTGTTTGACTATCGGTGTCCCCGAAGCATTGGTCTGGTCTGGTGGGGACATCGGATCAGTTATGCTGAGGTACGCCAGATGGTCTTAGGAAGAAGGAACTCTCCCGTCATGGATGAATTACTCACACTTCATAGGTAAGGCTGGTTAGGACATGTAATCCGCATGTCAGAAGACCATCTGCCGCGCAGAGCTCTTTTTGCCCAGCCCTTTGCTAACCAGAAGCGTCCGAGAGGTGGACTATCAACGGAGTACGGAAATATTAACCACTAAACTGAGTCGGGTCGACAATCGATGCCTGGTTGTGTAAGAACCCCAGGACTCAACTTATTAATGGCTATCGTCACTGGCAGAAAAGGCCCATTCACGCAGTCAGTGGTCCTCATGCATCAAGGCAATCGCCTTGACCGACAGAGTATGCGGACAATATTGCTCTCCCTGGTTCAGATATTTCCCCGAATGTAGACGAATTTAACTAACCTTTATAACTTCGCTGCATGGTTTGGCATGGGCTTCACACCTGCAAACCTAAAGTGCTGCTACAAGACTGGGTGGGATCTAACCCACTCCTCGTGTTTACAGGTGAGCCAATCGACTTAGTACATAAATTTGTTTACCTGGGTAGCTGCATAAGTTCCGGTGGATTGGCTGGGGATGAGATTATTTCTCGAATCGGAAAGGCCAGGACAGCTTTCGCCAACCTCCGACACCTGTGGCGACGACGCGGTGTGAGTTCGTCTGCGGTGGTGTCATCGATACTTCTTTATGGATCAGAGACGGACCCTAAACGCAGAGCACATAGGAAGATGTCAGTGGTTGATCATCGGCGTCTTCGAAGCATTTGTTGGGTCCAGTGGGAACGTCGGATTAGTGATGCTGAGGTCCGCCAGATGTTAGGAGGAAGAAATTCTCCTGCGATAGATGAATTACTCACGTCTCATAGGCTGCGTTGGTTAGGACGTCCCAGATTACCGTCTGCCTCTCAGAGCTGATTTACCAGTCCTGGACTGAGTGGAAGCGATCGAGAGGTGGACAGTGTATGACCTGGCAACGAAGTGCAAAAACACTAACCAGTAAACATAGTCGGGTGGGCAACTGCCGCCTCCCTTGATGGGGACCCCGGGACTCAAATCACCAGTGCTTAAGGACATTGGCGGAAATGACCCAATCGCGTAGTCAGTGACGCTATTGCATCAAAGCTATCGCTTTTAATGCGTAGCTATCCAATTTTCAAACAAACTGAACGTGCCTTCGCCTCCAAGGCTTGGTCGCACGTTCCACATTCCCGTTTTCCGGTGATCGAAACTGTAGCAGCTGGAACCGATGTGCCTATGGTACATGGTATAAAGCTGATAAATTGAAATCTTGGTCTGCGTTTCAGTTGAGTCGAACACGCTCGCTATAACTGGAGATTCTTCACTCGCTCGAAAACAACTTTCCAGGTAACTCTCCTAGGCGAATGCTTACAGTTTGTGGGAGTACTCCCACACAAATAAAGGGCGTGCACCTGCGTTGGCTATATTTTCTTCTATCCATTGGGAGATACAAGCATCGGGCCATAAACTGAATTTTTCTGCAACCCTAGGTAGCCAACAGCCCGCATGCAGAGAAAGCATTTGAGCTATTCGACGAATTTGGCGAAAGCAGTATTGTCGCCTTATTAGATGAGCAATGTGAATGCAATCTAGAGCCCGTCTCCAGTTGTTTTGCCAGATCCACTTGATGGCGCTTGCAATGGACTCGCTTTAGTCATTTAGAAAAGAACTGAGAAAACAAAACGATTTCAGTGCATGCTGTTGCTTAGTTGGTTGTGATTTTCATGACATCGCCACTTCTGCGGAACGATCCATCACGCCCGTGCTTTCGTCCTGTGGCTCACTGGAGAACACTGTAAGTTACCAGCACCTATTTGTGTTCAAAAGCTCATGTTATCTGGAACTAGACGCATTTCACCACCAAAGTTATCACCCACAAGGGTTGTACATACCATCTTTCCACTTTTCAAAGTAACTGCGGGTACCATCGACGGCGATGGCAATAAAAAGCGAGGTTCGGTTCAGTTTTTCGACTGCCCTATGGTGATCAGTGGAATGGCCATCAACAGTAATACGCCAGTGCAACGATAAATACTTCTTATAGCACTTTCAAACAATGCTACCTCGAATCATGTAAAGCATAGCTTTAGGTGTGGCCTTACATCCGTCATCAAATTAATAGACTTTTGAGAAGACAAATGGTACCTTCAAATGATTTTGGTAAAACGGTGTGGTGGGGTAATAATACGGAGAATTGCCCGTACGAGCATGCCAATCCGGATGCTCCGTAACTAACCGAAACAGCGCCGTATTTCGTCCCCATTGAGTTGGTGGGAAAATGCTCGAATAAGTTTGGCGGTGGCATGTAAAACGCCGAATTATGGTATCCTATCTTAGTACGCTTTTCTAACGTCAAATTTTTCACGTAGCACAGGACGGCGCTCAATCCATCTTGTGATATTAATGGTTTTGTTCACTCGCAGTAAGGCTCACCCCAAATAAGTTTCAGACAGTTGAACTGTCTGACAGAGTGAGCCAGAAGGTAAGCGTGACCAAAGCAGCGACCAAAGATCAGCTACCAGGGCCTCTGTATGCAGTGATTGTCTCTTGGTACGAATCCCGACCCTATGTGCCCTTGGCCGGGAACTAGCATGCCTAGAAATAGGAAATGAATAAACTCAGAGCCATTTTGGTTGGTATTTGCTCAATTCAGATGGAGAGAGATCGCTCGACAGAGGCACAAAATCTCAATTAAGTTCATTTGTCCCCTTATTGTGTAAGAAAGAGGAAGCAAAGGAACAATACAACGCAAGGATAAGAGAAGATTGCAACACAAACAAAAGGAGCGGTAGAAGTTTGATAAGCAGCAAAAAATGGTGAAGAATCGACGATGCGGAGAATGTCTTGATCAAGAAGTATGTATCCTTGTGGACCCGGTAAAGGCGTAACAGAATTGCGCAGTGACCCCACGATTAAGTTGCCAACAGCACTGCGAGGCACATAAAGTGTAGTTAACGTCTGTGACTAGGTTGGAAACACTAGGAAAGTGATGTGTTGAGAACAAAATGCAGAACGTCAAACTAATAGATAGTTGGAGCAGACATGGGAAATACTGTCCATAAAATGGAATATTGAGATCAATGCGTCAGAGTGAGGCGCGGAATGCCAGCTGAAACATTTGAGGACGAGGTCGTAGTTGTGATAAAAATGCAACTGCGATTGAGGTTTACAGAAAAGCCAAGGAAACCACCGGAACGATTGAGCAGAAAACTCGGGGAGCGTGGGACGAGAAAACCACATGGCCGGCGCTGATGGTCAGGCATTTTCGAGGGCGAACGACAATTCATCATTGAAACCCCCAGACCTGGAGTCGGTGGACAGAAAACACTGACATGATAAAAATGGAGCTGAAGCGGTAAACATAAATGAAAACCATCAACCAAACGAAATGAACTGTACAAATATGGTACCATACGCGCATGTGCATGTTTGGACATGAAAAGGAAGCACAGAAAGGGAGGGAAGCTTTTCAACAAAGGGTTTGTGAAGCGGTATACCCCACTGATGAAAGCGCGTGGTTGATGATGGTTCCAGCGATCGGATGTGTCATATTCCTGTGTAGTCGGTCCACCGGCCACTGGTCTGGAGTCGTTTGATTTTGGCTCGTATGCTGGTCGCTGTTCGACGGCCAGCAAGCACGGTGTTCGCAGTCCGTTGCCGAACTTCGTTGAGCACGGGGCAACTCCCCTTGGTGAAGTAGTCGCGGAAAAGCTGAGAGAAATGGTCAACGATAAGAAATCATGTTTTGGCGAAGGCACATCACTATTAAAGATTCGATCACTTCACGGGAAAATCAAATCTGTGAACTATCCCGGTCATGGGGCTGTCGTCGATAGCTTGCTATGTGGTTATCGCGAGTTTCAAATAACGGTCAGTTGCTTAATGATTAACTCATAGGTAGGATTGGTGCACGGCTCCCTTGTTTTAGATCTTGTGGGTCTGTAGACTTTCACATTTGACCAAAAGGCCCGTGACATTAATTCGGACATTTCCGAGCAGCTATCTCCGTGAGATAGTGACCAGCTTCTGAGACATCATTTAAATGTGAGACTTCTTTGATTTCCAATGATGATCAGCGACTACTAACATTAAACATTCTGACTGTTCACCTTGGTGACCTTTGAACAGTCGACGCTTATAGTCACTACTATGCTCACGTTGTACAAAACCACGGTTGTTATACGCATGTCGTTCAAAAGGGCAACATTTGTCTTCTTTTTGTCTTGATGAAACGGATCAAAGGGATCCAGTGTTTCAAATCATTCATCACTAGTCAGATGGTTGTTTAAATAAGTTGTCAGTTATTTGAAATAAAAAAGTGAATACTGGTCGACAGGCGCATGATCCCGCGGGAGACAGCCTGAAGGGACTAGTGGTTGATTTGTCTGCACCCACCCAATAAATGAGGAGGCGCTCTGCGGCCACCTTTGGTACCAGATTGCCCACGAGGATCGATACCTACTCACCAACAGTCGGATACATATAAATGAGTTTAAAAAACCGTTTAGCCGTAGCGCCCTTTTGGTACCTAGCTGCCATAAGACCCCGAAGGAAGCATGAGGACTGGGATACTGCGACGTTGCCCAAGCCCAGATGGGGGAAGTCGAGATACAGGGGCCGGGTTTGAACCGCGGACCTTCCGGTCAGTAAATTCGCACTCTAACCACCGGGCTATTTCGCCCCTATCTGAGTTTGTCGACAGATGGTTAAATCGAAAAGGTTCGAAGCTTTCCACTCATTTGCAGCCTTATTTAGTTTTAACGAAAGACTCAGCTGAGTCACATTTCCTTATTCTTTGTTCGCCAAATTGAACGCAGCTCTATTTCGACGTTTAGCACCGATCTGTGACACGTACCGAAACGAGGGCACCGATCGTTCCGTCCCAGCCAACTACCGACTTTGCCGTTGTATCAGGTAGCTGCGCTCAGTAAAATGTAACGCTCCATGTTGTTGAGTTTAAGGGACATCCCCAAACAATGGTAAGATTTGAGCTCATGTGTGCACCCTGATTGATTCTGCCGCTAAATTTGGTTGATGCATCGCTGATGCGCGGGTGTCACATGTCGCCTCCATCATGGCATTTTCAAAGCTCTATATCACAATATCACTAGATCAGCGAAAATTGACGGTGATGTGAGAAGATTTGGTAATGTTCACTACATATTTCATCCTGTCAGTGAAAAACCGAGAGATTGCTTCACCTATGTGTCTGAACGGTTCACATGCATTTGAAAAGCTCAGTTCCATGAGAACACGATGCTAACTCAGGCACTTTCACTTAGGTCAAACATCGTGAAAAAGAACATAGCTTAGGGATGATACATAGATGTTGTTGATGTGCAGAAGACCACCCCTTTTCCGGGGAGATATCTTAGAAAGAAGAGATCGGAAAGCAGCAAAACCCACTAACCTTCACAACTAATCGCGTCTCGAAGTCATCAAAAAGTCGTCCAACTGGAGCAGTACAACCATCCTGTGCATGCGCATCCATGGTAGTTGAACAGTTTTTCAGCAGTTCAAGGGAGTTGTGGTGGAAGGCCAGATGGGTACGGTGATTTCCTACACCAGTTGCATGGTTCTGACCGTTTGGTGTTCGGAATGACTGTCCGTTCATGTTCAGATGATGAGAATGGTAATTGGAAAGCGAAGCCAAAAGAGGTCCGTTGCCGGCGGCAGTCGATGAAGCGGCTCCTGTGGCGTTTGGATAACGTGGGCCAAGCATACCGATTGCGTTTGCCGATGAGGAAGCCACGTGGGGAGCAAGGTGTTTGGTATGATAATCATACGACTGCGACATATGATTTGACGAAGCACCACTCCGTACAGTAAGCTGCTCTGGAGGAGACAGCCGAGTGACATCACTAGCTGCCCGCTTTCCTAGAAATAATGGAACAAGGAAGGGAAAGTTCAGGCGGGCAAAACCATGAAGAAGGCAGCTGGCTTATTGCTATGTAATGTATCTCGCCAAAATGAGTAAGAGCTTTTATTTGGCACAGGTCCATCCACGGCAGTACATCACATGTCGCTATTCCCTGATGGCCCAAGTGGTTAGAGCGCGAATTTACTGACCAGAAGGTCCGTGGTTCGAACCCGACCTTTGCCTCTCGGATTCCCCTGTCTAGTCTTGGGCAACCTGGCAGTATCCCAGCCCTCGTGCTTCCTTCGGGTGACATGGCAGCTAAGCACCAAAAAGGTGTTACCGCTTAACGATTTTTCCCTATCAGCTGGCCATGACAAAAGCGAGATCTTAAGCAATGCCTGAAAAATTTGAGCAACAGTCTGCCAATATACTCTGCTACTGGTTCTCCCAATTCACTATCCCGCCAACCAGTAAACTCTCGTTCCGTCAGTAGTTTGCCCTACGTAGTGTGCTCGCTGGTCAAGCAACTCTAATGGGTGATTTCACAATGCTCGTTTGTCTATTCAGAGCTAGATAGACACCCAGATGCGTACCAATAAGTCTTGTTATCCCATGTGCAATCTCCTCACCAAATAAGCTCCAAACCCTACTTTGTTCAAGTCAAGAAAAAGTGCAGAAGCCTCCTGAGTAGGATATTACTCATAAGGTGCAATATCCGAATAAACAGAAAACACGTAAACCTAACGTAACGGTCACAATTGTAGGAATGGTGGCGAAACACGAATATGGGCTAAGACCAGCAGTATCCCTAGTGTAGTGGTAGAACTCAGAATGCATATGAATGCGTAGTATTTTCACGTGGTTTCTGCATATGATTCTCTACAGAGACCATTAACGTAGAGTCCACGACAGGGTAGAGTAGTCTTTCAATTGGTTACCGTACTTACCCTTTTCTAGGAGTTTCATCCCTTGGAGAGAGTCGTTGGAGAGGAACGCTTTTGTGGACTAATGAAACAGGCTGTCTGAATAGCTCTTCCGAGAGTCATCGAATGAAATAAGTAAACAAATGATATTGATCAGATAGTATAGGCCACAATATGCTTTGACACCTGGTGCATGTAAACTTAGTTTTAGAAAGCAGATGGGAAAGAATGACCAGTTTCCATTTCGAAAGTATGGTATACACCTAGTCAACGATCTAAAGGAAATGCATGTAAATAACCCGGTCGCAAAAACATGTCGTCGATATGTAATTGTGGCGAATTGTATTCAGTGTTTTTGTTCAAGCGTTCATTTTTTTTCTGCACTCCTCGTGAGAGGAGCTGTTTCTTCAACCCCAGAGGGATCGAAAATCAGTAACCCAGGGGTGATCTTGGACCAGGTTAAGGCCAAACCAGAGCGACGCCCGGGGATCGAATAACAAACTCACCTTCATGAGTTAGTTCCGACGGGCCCATCGGATCCTCTTCTGTAGGATAATAGGTTGGATTCGTAATGGGAACAATCTGGGTCAAGGAGGTTTGTACCCACAAGGGTAGGTCTGGTCGGATATTGTTGATCCATTGTTGGACGAACAACATTCGTTCCTGAAGTGGAGTGGAAACAGGATGAGTTGAAAAACGATCGTGGCTAGCTGGAGTTGGTAACAATGCAAACTCGATGAAATGAACGGAGAAAACCTATTCAGAAGGAAACTACTCACAAGGTTGCTGAAAACTCTTCGACAGCCCGTTTCGCCCTTCTTGGGGCTCATCAGGTAGGCGCAGTCCCCGAGTTTCCATCATCCTTATGTCCTAATTGAACCCAAATTGGACTGTTTTCGAGAAATGCACTCATTTGCAAATCAATTTGGTTTTCACGAGAGACCCAAATGAACATCTCGTTTATGATATTCTCCATCATCTTCATGAAAGTATACTGCGATATCTCGAATATCGTGCCAACTGAAACATGAAGCGGCCTGTGTGCAGCACATTCGGTTGTAGAATATCATAAACGAGATGTTCATTTGGGTCTCTCGTGAAAACCAAATTGATTTGCAAATGAGTGTATTTCCCGAAAACCTATTCCGATTTAATGAGGTGAAGGAAATCGCTAATCTTCAAACGAACTGTGAGGTTGTTTCTTCCGACTGCTTTTCCTTAAAAAGTACACTGGCTTTAGTCCCTGATTCTAAAAGTATTAAACAAGTAGCACCCGAATGATCAGTAATCAATCAAGTGATTGTTATTGATTGGCGTTGCCGTGTGAACTGCACACTAACAGTTGCGCGGTTTAATCACGAGTGGCAAGTACGGAGCTGCAGAGGCTGAAGTTTGAGCCGGCCCATTGCACTGTATATCCTATCCACATATCCACAAACTAAGTTCAACTGACCAAAAACGTGGCTTTCGAAGCCACAATGAACAACTTTTCATCGAAGACCTGTTAACCACCAGTAAACTGGCTGAGATATATTCCGCAGTCCCACGTTTTTCATCACAATTCCAGCTCCGAACCACTTCAACTTCATTTTCATTAATAATGATTTCCATGGCAAGAGAGCTCATTGTTGCTGTTGAGCACAGAGAAAAAGACCACTCGAGTGGAGTCCATGAGTTTTATTTCCTAGTATGGAACAGTGGGGACACTCACATGAAGGTAAGGCAACTACCGCGGTCTGAAAACGGACAGGATGTGCGTGTACAATCACACTGCTCGAAGTGCATTTCACCAATGCAGCTGGATATTACTCAGACATCGATCATGAGTTAGGGATAATTACCAGGCGGTTAGACTGAGCAGAACAAAACACGTGTTGGTGAAATACACTCATTTGCAAACAAATTTCATTTGGAACGCAGCTAAATCTCTCGCTTGTGCTGTTTCCAGGCAACCGAATGTCTGCACCAGGTCGCTTCATGTTTCAGTTGGTACGATCTTCGGGATATCGCGATACATATATATTCGTAATGATTAGAGCTCTTTGGAGTTGCTAATCACTTCCCTTTCAGAGTACATGCAGTTGGAAAGCGCCGCTACCTCTTTGCAAAGGCACTTCGAACATCAAAGTTTCGCAGTAATACTTCTCAAAAATAATGACCCGATAACTTTTTACAATAGTTCGAGGAACTAGTTTACGAAAAGCCCCGAACAGGCGTGCCTACGACGAAGTTCGATTAAATCAGTGGCTCAGCAAAGTAAAGTTCAGCCTCGTGTCGTTAAAGTCAGCAACTCAAACAGAAAAGTTCAACTAGGCGTCGAGACTGAATCGGACACTAGAGCGATCGATCAAAGCGCACGATGGACGCACCTTACTACGCTTGGAAAATTCACAGAAAACTTCATTGAAACGGTGAAGTGAGTTAAACAACGAGATATATGTTCAAACCCCCTTGAGAGCGTTCAACCCATTCCATGTGCATAACGATGGTGAGCGACTTATGGATTTGTGACGAACAATGTAATCACTCACGTGCAGACATAAATCTCAAATGGGGTATGGTTACATATGTACGCACTACTCCACTGTTTCTTGAAACCCTCAGCTCACTAACAATTTTCTCTGAGAAATACATGATGCTTTTCAATCCATTCGGATTTCCGGAATAGTGTTGATTGACATCGTTGTCGCCTGATGGTCAGTTTACAATACGTTTCTTCGTTCAGAAGTACAGCTATGTGATCGGTGATCCTTAACTGTTGCTGGAACGCGCGTATATAGAAATGCCACATCACATCGCTCATGTAAATACCGCAGGTTTACCGAACCAGTTCACACTTTCAGACGGATATTCGCGTTTTCCAACCAGTTAAACTCCAAGCAACGCTGCTGAGATTTTCGAAGGTATAAGTCAGTGAACACAAGGCCGTTGCGGAGGAATTAATGATTGAGTCTCTGAATAATCAAGCAGAGACATACATATACGTAATGCA